AAAAAGTTGTTTTTAAGCATAAATGTAAGGGATGCGGTTAACATAGGTACAGTATTGCCAGTCTTTGCTGAGATTTACATTGTGATATGATGGTCTTGCAGCCTTTCTGCAATATGTGTTTTCTGTATATGCAGCGGGCTTCATTTCTCTGAGTTTCATTGTGTTTCAAAAATAATCCAAGCATCCTTCCGACCTCCGACATGGCTACATAAACCTGACCCATTACACGCAGAGTGGCGGCCATTGGTTGGTTCTTCATCCATTCAGGGCTCTCCATTATGGCTCCAGATGAAAGATTTAGAAATGGCGGTGTTCTCCCTCCGGCTGCAAAGCGTGAAGCCTAACCGACCTCACAGCAGGAGTAATGGTCCACACCTTTAATTGTCTCGGGCTGTTCATCTTCACTAACAATAGCAGTAAGCAATGGTTCTGGGAAAGAAAGGCAGTCGTGTGTGACAAAAGAAAGTGATTTAGTTCTGGAGGCAATTCATAAGCGGGCGTTGCCGGGGCAGCAGTAATGTGCCGAGAGAAAGATCATATGGGGTAAGAGGTGTAGAGACACAATAGCGGCACACAACGCAAGAATTTTTTTCATTTTCACATTGCAAGGATTTGTCAAAAGAGGAAGTCAAATATATAGTGTGTGTCTTTTAGGGGAGCGAGAGCTTGTGTTATTGAAGTGGACATGGTGCTCTCTGAATTATGGATGCCGCAATGGCTTTGAAAGTGAGTTGGACAAGAGAAAGTTTATCCCCACGGCTTTATCAGTTAGAAAACAAACAACACATCTCATTTAAAGCAGTGAACTGTAGGGTTTATGTTTCCTGATTATCCCATTTGACTTTCAAAAGTTTGCTTTTAGTTATGTATTTCTTTCAAAAGAGGAAACACTGCTAGGGGAAAAAAGTGAACCTTTGATAGGTCACTGTCAGTATTAGACATGTTGAAAAGGAAAAAGTCAAGTGTTGTAACCAAATTAAAGCGTACTCCCTGTGAAAGTTGAGGCCCATTAAAATGATAGATTGCACGGTCTATGCAAAGGGATGCTTTACACCCACAAAACAGTCTAATTGCAAGCATTCCCGTAAGAAGTCCACAAATGTTGAATCTAGACTCTCGGGCGCGTTGGCAGCAAGCTGCTCGACAGCAGATGACTAGCTTCAAACGAGTAGCGAGGGAGAGGGATGTAAAATCCTGACAAACAGTGAGAGCCAGTGTCCACATCCTCTCTCGCCCCTGACAAGCTTCCCCATGCATGAATTCCAAGCTGGTAAAACCGCGGCTGGATTCATTTTGATCCGACATCCATCATGTAGATCAGTGTTGGTTTCACTGTACTGTGTCCACGATGAGATGTTTTGGCGATCGGCCCGTGACATCTGTTAAAGCCAGTCAAAAGAAACCGGGACCAATTTGGCTCTTCTGTCACAAGTTATTGTTGTCTTTTGGCTTTGAACACTTTTCCTTCTTATTAGAATAGTAAAGTATCTGAACTATGCCTGAATGTAACCACCCTGTGTGTCTAAATAAAAACGTTCATTTAAAAGCATATGGAGCCAATTATATTCTTTTCTAGGTTGACAGATATGGTGCACGTTGTGTCAGATTCCGGGTTGTTTCCTCTTATTGCTGCTGTTTCTTGCCCCGGAGAACGTTTGCAAATTGGAAACATTGTGCCACTGTAAATTTTATTCTCCTTTTATTCGTCTGAAAGAACCAGAAAAAAAGTTTCCGCAGGGTAGCTGGTTTTTGTGTACTAGTTTAAACCATTACATAGAGTACATGATGCGGCAATATTGATGATATGATATGATCAAATGTACACGCGAGACACATGTCTAAGGAATCGTTGTTTCTTTGGTGCTTACCACTGTATAGGGAAAAAAATCAACCCTCCCCCACTCGATTCTCATATTTCTGACAGCGATATTTGACCAGTCGCATTGTCAGCCATCAGCTTAGAATACAAGTCTCATAGCTGAGTTATACAATGACATATAAACCTCACGCAGTATTCCTGCACCAGCTTGCATGGCTCAACCAATGCGGCATGTGCGTGGAAGGCGTTAGGCAGATGGGATACGTCTGATATCTCTCACTCAACATAATGAGACGAGAACGCGCTTCACCAATCTTAGGGCCCGTCTGATGGCAAGAGACACGGTGCCCACTCATACGGGAGGGATCTTTCCCCTCTTCAAAGATAATGAGATGACAATGTATTCAACTATCATTAGATAGAGACAGGGTTTTTTTTTGGGGGGGGGGGGGGGGGGGGGGGGGTTGGAGGGAAAAAAAAATTTCAGCGCCTTGTCTGTGCCCTTTATCAAAAAAAAAAAGTCGTTCTTTGTATCGGTGCTGGTCTCATGAAAGTGTGGCTAACTACTTTATCACTGTAACTGAAAAGCTGTAGTTTGTCAGGTGATTTCTCAAGCTCACCTGGTTTGTTAGGCGAACACAGGAACACACACGCCTCTGTGTTTACTGCCCCGCTGCCGGTGTGATTTATTTAATCGTTGTAACTCTCTGAATTCAGTGGCTTGAAAAATCCCTTCCAGTGTAACATTACACAGTCACAACATTTTTTTTCTGGCGTGGCAATACACTGCAGGACGTCAAAGGAGCCAAGCTAAAGGGCTTTCTTAAGCAGATTTGACGAGACGATCTTATTTTAAGTTGACAGATTGTTTTGGCTCTTGTCGAGGGTTCCGTCTTGTCTTTTGTCCCCGTGGTGAAGATGATCCCTCGCATGATGTTTTTTTTTTTATTCTCAGCCTTTATTATAATACAGTTTCCTGACAAATAAGCCCCCCACATCCATTTTAAAGGCATTCCGCGCTGAGCATTAGGCTTCTGAGGCTGTACTTTGACAGCAAATGTGCCTAAAACATGTAATGCACTTGTAATGTTTTTAATCTTTAAATCTGTATGTATTATGTTATGGAAGAAAGCCACTTAGTATACCTGTGTGTCTTTAAAATCAATATGGTTCTTTGTTTGCAGCCTCCTCTGTGCTGTTGCATCTTTCTCCCATCACCTACCATCTCTCTTCACTGTCAAACCAAAAAGGATAATAAAATATAAAGGGAAGCTGCTCCCTCACGCTTTTAAAATAAGGAAAAAAATCACAAAGAAGCTGGGCTCAAAAATAGAACAATCATTTGTCAGGATTATGAGAGATTGTATAAACCTTTGTGACAGCGAAATCCCTTTAAAACCTGACAATCATCTCTCAAGTAAGGCTGCTTCTTCCTTGTAGGTTCTGTGCTTTCCATAAAACCCAGAAATCTTCATTCGAAAGTAAGAGAAAGAGACGCCTTAACATCCAATTTCCAAACATTTCATCATCGTGTCTCAATAATTATGCGGGGTTATTAGCTCAAGTATTTGTCCTTGGCATCCATAATGCCGGTTGACATTTATTATGAACAGTAATGGTATTAGAGATCTTTGATTTGCCTGCTTCGTGTAATGTTCTCTGCAGTGCAACAGCACCCTCTCTTGATAATTTATGATATAATTACATCACCCTGGAGGAGGGTGCTGTGTGAGAGGGTAAAATACTGGTGAAACATCTAGTAACTCAAAACTGCTTAAATTAATTAATGTCAGTTCTCACTAAAAAAAACTGTTGGATAAAAGCAAGTCTAAATACTTGAATTACTACGTTCCTTTTTAAGGTGACAATGTAAATCTGTGTTGGAACCTCGTCAACACTCCCCCACTGACTGACCCTGACATCCCGCTCCACCGGTCCCACACTCCACATGCACATACACTTTGCACTTTATTTTTAACTTTTTATTTTAAGTTTTATTTTTAATTTAAATTCCTCTTGCACTATGTTGTCTTATCTGTCTTGTTGTCCATTGTCTTTCTGTTATGCACAAACCGCCAAGTCAAATTCCTAGCATGGCTGACATATTTTGGTAATAAATGTTCCTGATTCCTGATGCACTCAAATGCCCCTATGATATCCCACTGTATTTATTATGTTGTTCTACACTGCTCGGAATGCAAAATATCCCCATTTAATACATTATTGTAAGATATCTGCTGTCCCTTACTCTTCTTTTCTAATGTTCCTTCAAAGGGGAATCACAAGATTTTGCCTATTTTTTGGTGTGATATTAAAAACACGAACAAGAAGGAATTTTTTTGTGATGGTTAACATATATTAATAGATGTAGATGAATGTATAATTTAGCCAGCATGTCAAATTGGTGGGATTAACTTTAGAGTTATAGGTTTTAGTATATAAAATACCTACAGTGTTAAATTAAAGATTAAAGATTATCATGTTTGTTTTTTTACAGGGGAGTTGTTCAACTGCAGTGAGCCGAAGGGAAGACAGTGCTCTGAAATTATCAGTGAATTACATCAAAGTAAATCTGGCAGCAGTCAAATAACTCTGGTGAAAGTGTAACCTTTACCACCATTCATTTTTTTTACTAGCGTTAAATTGTATTGGCAACATAAAGCACTTCCCATCGCCCTGGTAACATTAGGACTTTGATGTATGCCCTTATCGTCCAACCCTGATCTGCAGCTACACTGTCCAACAGATTTAGAATTCACGATTGGATAAAAATGAGCTGCCCTCAGGACAATAATCTAATGAGGCACATTTGCAACAAATGGGGTACAGCTATTTGTATCACTGCTGGCTCATGTTTCCACTAAGCCTTTAAATGAATAGGCCAGATATAGTGAGATATATTGTAAATTCTACAGACTAGAGTGTTGAGTAATATCCTAACCTGAACAGGTGGACTTTGGGGAAAGCTATTATCTTTTATTGATCTCCATTACAAGGTCTGACAGGAGGAGATCCAGATCTACAGAAACAGAAAGTTGGAGGAGATTAATCCTCACACAACCTCGGATACGGATTGAGTAAAAAAAGGCAGTTTGTCAACATGAATAAGAGAGAATGTGTTATATGTGGTGAAGTCAGTGCTGCAATAAGAACAACACGAACGTCAGTGGCAACTTCAAAGAAGCTTCCTAGTCTGTTTAGTCAAAGAGTCAGTTTAGTTTACTCAGAGCAGAACAAGAGAAAAAAGGGGCCACATTCAGCTCTACACGTGGGTTTGAACATGCACCGAACACTCAAGTCCTTTTATTTATAGGTCTGCATGCTGTACAAAATTATGATTAAAAACATTTGGCCCCAAAGTTAGTAGTGTTTCAACGTTTATGAGCAGAACAACAAACTACGAAGCTAAAGTCACAGTAACATAGTAGTAGTTCAGTTGAAATCAGGTTTTCCAAATGCTGCTCATGAGACTGGTGGTTTGGATACACTTGTTATCACTCTGCCACAGTTTGCCGTTACTTATGTATTATTATGGTTTTGTTGTGAATTTTACGATCATCTACATGACCCAAAAGGCATCCTTTAAAATACAGAACAGACAGTGCTGATGATGTATGATATTGTCTAACTCGAATAAAACATTCGCTCAGTCAGCATGCACAGAAATAATGACAAACTAATAATAATAGCTGCGGAGTGCACTGGTCTAGGTGTGATTCTATCAACACAAATATAGTTTCAGATTGTTTACAAAAATCTACAGCAATGTGAAGTATCAATATGATATATTTTTTGTTATTCACAATTTTGTAAACTTTTATTTAATGCGTAACATGACTTCTAAGACAAGCAAATTACTTTGGTGTTGTGTGGCTACAGGCTCAATAAAAACATAAAATGTCCAAACATATAATTCACTAAGAAGTTGGATATCCTTCCTTTACTTCTAACTCGCGTTCACGGTGGTCTCCTTCCCGAAAGAGTAAGAATCTCTTTAGACCAGCCACGAAGGAAAGACACAGGAACCGGGTTACATTTCAGTATCAAAGGAACTTTAATTTAAGTAGCTAGAAAATTAAATATAAACCTTAAAATATACTGTACTGTGTGTGATGGTACTGATAAGAAAAGTCTCTGTATGGATGTAAACCAACCTGCAGCCCTATTTGCTCAAAATGTAACTTTTACCATTGCAGACATACACAGAATGTTTCAAAAAACGTAGTATAACAAAGCAGTACAACAAAGGCTTGGCACTTGCTCCAGCTCAGCCAAGTCTATGAAAATTCTTGATCGGTTGAGAATGTGAAGAATGTGTAGAATGTGCAGTGCGTTCCATTATCTGGACCAGTCCTCCCCAGTGGGTGGGCATGTCCACTAATGATAGAAACAATGGCTTATGGGCAAGGCGCTCCGTTTCCTTCTGAAAAATATGGAACGCTGAGTAAAAAAAAAAAAACATGATTCTCGAAGGATGTGTCCTTGATCCGTTGTTTTGTTTGTCCACTCTTCTTCGCCAATCTTTCATTTGTTTCCCATGCTGTCGTGAGACAAAGCGCTCAAGGCAATTTCACCACCACCACACAGGCGCCTGCCCTGCCAACGTTGAGAGGGACCTCCTACAGGATGACAGCGGGGTTAACATGAGGCCTCTGATCTGAGGCTCTCTTCAAAAAGAATCCCATTTTGCTTCATGCAGATAAGAGGGTTACAGAGGCAAAACTGAAGAAAAAAAAAACATTTCAAGCTATAAAATATTGATAGGATTCAGTGACTGCAGCCGAATTCTCCTCCCAAAGCGAGTTAACTGGAACCCTGCTGCTACATGCAACCAGTTCTGGCTAAAACAAGCTAAAAATCCATTAAGCAGATTAAACATTTTGAATGTCAACAGTCTCTTATTTGTTCCCTTGATCAATTATTGGTTGATGTAATTACCTCAGTCCACTCGTTGTTCTGCGCATCGTAGGACTCGACAGTGTTGAGATAAGACTGGCCATCGTATCCGCCCACAGCATAAAGCCTGTCCCCCAGCAGGCAAACCCCCACGGCGTCCCGGGGAACGCTGAGGGAGGACACAGTGGTCCATGTGTCCGTCTTAGGATCATACCTGTAAAACAATATGTTGACTGTTTATTGGATCAGGGATAATATGGTTAAAAACAAAGGAAAAAATAAAATGAATGGACTTGTTTCTCAAGAGGACGGCCGTGTCCCATCCCCAATTAAAGAGGTGATGTTTGCCGGCTTTAATCACAGATGTCTGCATGGTTTACTTTTTCGCCACCCACAGAGAGCCAGATTGACACTACAAGTAAAAATTGTTTCTTGGACAGCAGCTGGCGGCTCCTGGGTCCACCGAGAGCTGGACTCAGGAGTGACTGATGATGTTGTTGAATTCTTTTCTCTTTTTTTCACCATGTTGACCTCTAAGATGAGGACGAAGAAGACAAACTTTATGATTTTCTTTCAGTGATTTCAGGATATTTCAGTCATTTTTCTCCCGTTGTGCTGAAATTAATAGTATCAAAGTTGAATGCTACTTCATTTAGTTTGTTCTATTAATTTTAAGCAAATACATTTGTTTGTAAAATATTCTCTCATATTGGAGACCTTACAGTTAATTATTTCTTTTAAGTACAAAAAGAGTAAAATCACTGTTTTAAAGATCACCTTGTTGCTCTTTTATTGACTAACACTAGAAAAGAATTAATACGATTTGAGAGCATTTTGAGGACTAATTGGATAATAAAATGTCAAATGAGGGAAAAAAATATCAACCAAGAAGGTTTTCTGTGAAGTGAATTATCACTGAGACGCTCCACTGGGATCCAAATCAGATTCAGGACATTATGGCCACTAGATGGTGGCAGATAGTCAGAAATTAAAAAAAAAACTCTCTAGACTCCCTAGACCTCTTCAATCGAGCATCGAGTCTCAAAATGCAGGAACAGGGTGGGGATCGTTTGTCTCCCTTTTGTCCTAACGGCCTCATTCCAAACCCATAACTGATGAATCCAACTGCAACCCAAAGCCGGTTATGGATGATTCTTTGTGCTTGTGTGTGTGTGTGTTTTCCAGAGCAAGCACCTTTCAACACAATCGGAGAGTCTGGAGCAGTGGTTGGAAGCCGGGGCGTCGTGGCCCCCTACAGCATACAGGAAGTTGTTGTACGTCGCCACACCGACTCCGCCTCGCCTCTTGGCCATGGGAGTACACATGCTCCACTTGTTGGTGTGCGGATCGAAGCACTCCATTGACCTCAGGCAAGAGCTGCCGTCGCGACCGCCTACTGCGAACAACCTGAGAAATGAAACAAGAAACTAAACGCCCAACATGCACAAACAGAACTAGTGGACCTGTAGGGAGAAGCTCACATCAGTTGTCAGATTTTTGTAAAATATAATGATAGAAAAGTGATATTGTGATGGATTTTGAAGATACATCAGTGAGCATTTCTTTTCCAAGGCCCTTACTTTGTGTGTGTTCTCTGGCAGAAATATCACACGTTTTAAGTGCTTGTAACTCACAGGCCCGACAGAAAGTAGAGACGGGGGAAACACTTTCCTTGTTGTCTATATTTGACCTAGATGCAGAAATAACTCTGCATTGACTTTAACATTGAGAGCTTGTTCTTTCTTCGGCGCACAAACCTCATAGGCATTTAAAACATACAAATATACAGTGTCTTGCTTTTAGAGGCTAGATTCCCCCGAACAAATTACCACACTGATGAGAACAGCATTCGCTTTGAGCTGCTGACTATTGCAGCCGCCATGTAGTTTATCTTATACATCTGTAAAGGTTGAATCTGCATTCGAGAAGTATAATGTTGTCAAACTATCACTGCAGTAATGCTTCACCCTGAGTTACATAATTATACCTGTGTTATTACACCTTATATTCCAAGTTCGGGTTGCTTTTTTCAGTCAGAAAATCAACTTTCAGAATGAACCTTATCACTACTACATTGCATCTGCATGAAAACCTTGTATTTTTATTAAAGCAGACATGGTTGTGCTTAAATTTCAAAGTCAAACAAGGGCATGTTGTAAAAGGCTGGCTGAAACATGAATAACAATGCAAATACCTGATGTACTGGCATTTTAACCACTACGTTGGAGGAGCAAGCTGGCACACATCATGCACTGTGATCACTGTCTGTAGTCATCTACCTCCTCAGTGTGTAGCTAGGGACCTCAACCTCAGGCCCAATGATATTTTAAAGGAGCAAAAGTGTGTAGCTTGATATATACAACTTACTTTCCATTGAGCGCCGTGACCCCCATGGTGCTCCGTGGTGTCGACATACTGGCCACATAGTTCCACTGTCTGGCCTGCGGGTCCCAGCGCTCCACTGTGTTGAGGTAGCTCCAACCGTCGTGGCCTCCCACAGCATACATCGGGCCCTCCAGCACAGCAATACCTACACAAATGGCAATGCAAACTTATATAACGTAAACCACTATGTTTACTTTAGTTTAGAAAGTGAAGAATTGTGTTTTCCTAAGCTTCAAATGTGTACACTGCATGTAAACATGTGGGAGCATGTTCTCTTCACACAGTCTGCTATGTCGCACCACCCTCTTTCTGCACAAGCCTAGAACACACACACCAAACACCATGGTTCTAAGAGGGCCTCTCAGGGTTTCAGTTACCTGAAAGCAGTTCTCCGATGTTTGGAAAGGGAAGAGGTGAGCAAGGGGGATTTTAAATTGGATAATCGCCGCAAACACACGTCTGGATTCTACTAGATCCTACACATACTGGTCCTTTAAATCATCTCTGTTGAATGTGCATTTAGCTCCTTCCTGTCTGTTAAGCTCCCTAAATGTGCTTCATACTTATGTATTTATATCTGTATTTGTTTAAGTTTATTATGAACAATCAATAGAATTGATTGACATTTCAAAATCAAAGTTTTCTTTGACAGTTATTCGAGAGCTGATGCAGATGTTTTTCATTTTAGGACAGGGCAGGCTGATTCATGCAGCCAACCAAAGCTATTCAGAAAACAGGAAGACTATCAGACTGCATTGTTATTCTTCAATCCCAAGTCACAGAGGAAAGCGGTTTTCCCCCGCTAATATGCAGAGGATGTTTTAACACAATGGGTTTTTACATTACCACCCTTATTTCCTGTGGTGAAAGTTCAATTATTTGGAAAGAACATGAGACTGCATTCAGAGAACCTGGAATAACATAAACACTTTCCAAAACTATTCTCGCATTGAGACTTTCTTTTTATTTAACGACTAGCGCTTTGGGATAAAGAAATACTGTTTTGTAGTCTTCATCCCCCATGCACACAGGAGGAAATGGTTGGGCAGAGGTGTTGAAAGACACTAAGCTCACATATTTTCACACTCAAAATATGCACGCCACAGCAGCAAGAGATATTTGCCACGGGAAAGATCAAAGAAAACACAGGTAATCTGGACAGTGTGATCTCCTTGGCGAGCTGATACCTCCGACCACACTGGGTGAGCTGAGCTGAATGCTTTGACAAGATCTCCCCGTTCTGTTACCCGGACCTGTTTCAACTGTGAATCAAAAACGCTTCTGATATGAGATTTACTGGGTAGGAAAGGGTGAGGAAAAGCAGGGCCGAGCGCCACCTGACAAGCTTTGATAGAGAAATGGGAACATATCAAAGGTCTATCTCAAATAAATGTATGACTATTTTTTTCCCAGCACTCCAGCTGTTCCCCTCCTGAGGATGCATCAAGCAGCTCTTAGTGTTTCTTGAAACCAGCTACCCTGAACGAACTAGAACCTCAAATCTTGAAATGGTTGTAAGAGTTGTGTTTTCACATGTCCGCTGAAAACCGGAAAATAAAAGGTGGAAGGAATCTACAGTGATTTCCATTGATTACAGAGGCTGTGATTGTACCTTAAGGACACAATCTGCGGCGATGCCAGCAACCCACGCACTCCGTAACATCATTTATCATCACATTCATATGAATACAAACAATCTGTTTACGATTGAATTATTTTCACAGAACACGTATATAAGTGATACTCTTTTACAAGTCAAAGCCCTGTACTCAAAATATTATTTTAATCATGAGATTATAGTTGCGTATGTGTTAATATGTTCATCGCTTTAACCTTATAGTTTGTAAAAGCAGAGCTAATCTCAACTGTTTTTTATAGTTAATAATAAATAAGCTGTATGTTACTTAATAATACATTATTGTTTATAAGCTAGTTCTAAATAATAAATGTAGCGATGTTAAAACCATAATATTTCCCTTTGAGATGTTGTGAAAAATATGGAAATACTCAAGTAAAATACAAGCATCCATTGTCCAGTACCTGAGTAGCCTAATTGTGCTGAGCTAATTTTCGGTATAAAAATAGATGAATATATAATCTTCTTACATGTGGCATTTTCTTTCTGGTCAAATAAGTGGAGCTACATTTGGCCCCCGAGACACACTCACCGAGGCCATGCCTGTGTGTTGACATGGGGGGCATAGTAGACCACACTTTGTGGATCGGATTGTAGCACTCCACCATGTTGGATGTCTTGAGTCCATCCCTCCCTCCGACCACATAGAGCTTGTTGTCTATAACCGCGACGCCAAACTGCAGCCTGCGTCCGTTCATGACTCCGACCTGGTCCCAAGTATTGGTCCGCAGGTCGTACTTCTCTATCGTGGTGGAGCCTAAGAGCCACGACAAAAATGTTAAAATGTAAACAAACTTGTCTTGCTGTTAATGAACAACCACTGCGGTGATGCTTGGCAACGATACCTTTGGTGGCATCCATCCCTCCTACAGCATAAAGTGCGCCCACGGTGGACTTTCTTGGTTTGGTTCTTGGGCTCTGAAACATGGGACGTCTCTCAGGCAGAAGATGGTACTTCATGGCCTCCATCAGCAACTTTTGGCACTCCAGATCGTCGGAGAACATCTTGTTGTTTTCCAGATCAGCAAGGAGCTGCATTTCAAGGGATCACTTTAATAGGTTGTAGTGTAAGAAATAATTTAATCAAGAGATAATGTGTAAAAAAAAATCAATAAATTTGTTATATAGACTTCCCCTTTATATATTTGTGGTGGGCTGTTATCGGCAGTAACGTGCTGCGTTATGGTGAGACTCTTATCGGCGATAAAGAAAAAATAGCGCCGATAATCTATTCTCAAAGTTGGGTTGGGAGCTGGCTCTATACTACGCAAGCTATGATGATTTTCACCTTGATATTCTAGCGCGGATGTATACCTACGAGCACGGATGTTTACCTAGCCAAATTGCACTGTAGGGGGCGAGAACTAGACGTGCTAGCATGGATGCAGCTACAAAGTCACCGGGTTTGCTTCAGGGAAAATGTATTTTTAAGAAGCTTCCCAATGGAAACCTCGACAAGACGAAGGTTGTTTGCACCTTGTGCAAACAGGAATTAGTTTACTGTAGAAGTTCTTCAAGTCTCAAATACCACCTAAATGCAAAGCATCGCTTAGCTAACGCAGAAGATGGCGGGCCAAGCACTGATGTAGCGCAGGGGAAGAGTCGTCATCAAACTACTATGTTTGAGTGCGACCGAGGCAAGCGCGTAACCACAGCTCTATCGGCCAAGCTAACGAATCTCCTCGCTCAGTGGATTGCCACCAGCTGCCGGCCCATCAGCGTGGTAGAAGATGACGGGCTCGAGCTTGTTCTTCAGGCGGCCACAGGTGATCCATTTTACAAACTACCTGCTAGGCGAACTATCATGAGGAGAATACATGACCAGCACAGCCCTGGTCTAATATGCCACCTGGCTTGAGAAACCTGTTCTCAAAGACTTACTTTTAGTAATTATTTGGGTAGCACACATATTTTAAATGCCTTCGTCAAAATTCAAATGAGCCATTTTAATCTAGATTAATCTAGATGAATTCCAAGATTACAGTGATATTAATCTAGATTAAAGAAATTAATCTATGCCCACTACTAATATATATGAGGAAATGTCTGTTGATCTCGTGTAGAATTATTTTAAAGATGAAAATGAAAATAAAATACAAATACAGTAACACAACACCCTGTATATTGATAGATTTGTAGATGTGGTAACAGCAAGTCCTAAATAATGGAGTTAATGTTAAGTGCAGGAAATCGGTTATAATTTGAACCTGTATGGAAAATATCTCGCCAATTATTTTGTTAAATACCCACTTAAACACTATACTGCTACTTTAAATTGAGCCTCACACTACAGACCAAAGTAGTAACTTTTAAAACTGTTTTAACGTCATTCAATATTTCATCACACATTTACTTTTCCTGAATTAAGTGTTTTTAAACCATTGATCTTAGTATACCTGCAATAAATATATGGGCCACTAGTCTGCTCATCTCTTCAGTTTTTACTAAATAAAGTGATGTTTTTGAAGAACGTTTTTTTCAGTGAGTCATTTCGGTTGTTTCCCAGCCAACAATATCTCCCTACTCAAAAGATAACAAAAAGAGTTTCTGATCACATTTTGTATTATATAGTGTTTATTCATAAAAACATTTCATTGTTCATGGACAAAACCTTTGCGCATTTATTTGTTTCCTCCATCTGTTCATCCAAAGGCAATATTTTCATACTTTAGGAATTTGATGCTTTGTAAATTAGGTTTACATGACACAGTTGTAAAGAAGAATGCTTTTTCTCAGAAATACAACATTCATAAACCATATCATGAGAACCATGAACAATGTGTATAAAAATGGAATTAAGACTATTACTAAGACAGAAAAAGATATTTTGATATTATACGTTGGTCTCTGAAAAGGGTATTTCTTTTTGACATTTCCTGACATGTTGTAGACAAAACGTCCAAAGGCAAAAGTACAAATCCTGATCATTCCCTTTTCTGACCATCCCTACCCATTCACCCGTAATCTCACCTGCGGAGGAAGAAGAGGCAGGCGGATGAAGACAAGTAGCACCCCAAGGTCCTTTTGTCGGTGCTCGACGTCATACCTCACCCACATCATCAAAGCCTGGAAGATGGTCTCCTCATCGGGGACATTGATTTCATCGCTGGAGAGCAGCTTAACAATCTCAGCCGTGGGGAGCAGCAGAAACTCCTGGTTCTGAATGACCTCCAGGAAATGTTCCTGGAACACAGAGGAGACAGGTAGGAGGCAGATAATCATCAGCCATTAGCCAAGGACTATGCTTCGTCTAGAGCTGTGTGTGTGTGTGTGTGTGTGTGTGTGTGTGTGTGTGTGTGTGTGTGTGTGTGTGTGTGTGTGTGTGTGTGTGGCTTTATCTCGATAATTCTGAGGATGACAGAAGGACAGAGAGGTGAAGAAAAATGATTGCAAATAGATATAGAATGCCAATTTAGACGTCTTTAATAACAATTTATTATAACTGGCAGTGAAATGATTACTCACACATTGAATGAACAGTTTAAACTGTTTTCTGTTTCATTTAACAGCAGCACAATTCAAATCAATCTGCCAGTAATCATCTCCAAAAAATCATCTTCATAGGGAACATTTTTGCTGCTGATGGTGCATAAAACCATCAAACCAATAAGATGCTGATTAATGAGAAACAGAAGACCACTGCAAACCCACATTACCATCACACCACAACAGTGTCCAGCTTTAAGTTCTTGTGCAAGCTGTTCTCTATTGCCTTTCTTAAGATTAATCTTCCATTTACTGCCCACAAGCTCGGCTAATATTACAGCGCTGCATGGCCACCTCTTCAAGGACATTGTCCCTGAGCATTTTCATTAGAGATGATGCTACATAAAACTCTCCTGCCTCTACAGTATATTCATCATAAAATCACATTAAAGAAACATGGAGAAATCCTTGGCTATAATAACACTCTGATTCCTTCATCAAAAATGCAGCTTAGATTTCATGAATTGGCTACTTTATTAATCGTTGATGCTCAACAATTAAGAAAAGAAAGCAGGCTATTGATCAGCAACTTGCAACAAACCACAAAGACTTTCCAATCTAGTAGGTTTTAAGGGCTCAACACAGACAACCTGAATGAAATGAGGGACATCTATTGATCTGTCTGTGCAGCACTGAGGGAGAAATGTCTTCCATCTTTTGTTTTGCTTTAGACCAATTATTTGTAATTGCCAGTCCTGAACAAAAAATTGAAAGCTTAAGCGAGTTTCTTTCATGAATATTTAAACTTATTAATTAAACTTTTAGTAGGGCTGTCAACATAAACGCATTAATCTATGCGATTAATGAGGCTGAGATTAATGCATTGAAATATTTTAACGTAGTAAACGTTTGTTTACTTCCGGAAGTAAACCAGAAGTAGACTGCGGAAACAAAACGGCTGCTAGCTGCAGTCAGTTACATGAAGATCGAGAGAGCTTTCTGCATTGGATGTAAAGCAAACAGAGGCCAACACACTGCGAAGTGAGAACTGAGCAGAGGAATTACTCCACGTGTCAAACACGAGGGGGGTGAGTGTCAAACGGACCACTTAATGCACCGCTATGCTAAGCTAGCTGCTAGGCTACTTCCATCTCAACATCTAAAGTTACCCTGCGCACCACACAGTCTGCGGAGGACCACCACTGTGTCCCTAAAAGGCTTTGAAAACGTCCTGGCTAAATGTGGGGAGATTGTTGGCACTTTAAACACAGCCATTAAATGGTGGAGAGTTGGGAGCAAAGTGAGGACAGCAGAAAGCGTCGCTAGTTCAACATGTTCCACCAGGTGGAATTCAGCCTCCAAGATAATAAAAGGTGTGTAGTTTTGTATTTAAAATAACAAAAATAATTAAGCCACAGTGTCTAAAATTCACGGTTACCTCAGAGATTAGTCATTACTTTTAAGATTTAGTCTTTAGAGGAAAAACAAACATCCAATAAAAACAACATTGTAACAACAACAACAACATTAATTGCCATTAATCGAGATTAATGAATTTCTAAATGGGCGATTAATTAGTTCATTTTTAAAAATATATTGACAGCCCTAGTTTTTAGATACCGGCAAACTCATTTGTGGGTAAACTGCTTGGAAAAGAAAATCAGTGGGAGAGGACACCAATTGATTCAACTACTGCAAGAGAGTAATTGCGTAATAACAGTGTTTTCTGATGAGGAAGAACACTGATTTTTAATGGAAGGGAGCTTGGGATAATTAAGAGCATGTGATTACATGCAATTTGCAGACAGATTACTGTATTTTTCAATTTTTCTTAAACATGAAATGTTTACAATGAATTACCATTTTTGTCATGTTAATGCTTGCATGCCAGCATCCGCCCGAAATTCAGTGTACGCCTCAATGTTTCTACGTCGCACTACGTTGCGGCAAAATTAGGGGTACCCTATTTGGTTGCTTGCTCCTCTCTTGGTTTCTCAAAGCGCTCCCTATAGATGGTTGTATACTGCCGATGACAGCTTGTTGACTCCTCACACACACGTGACAACACCGCAGAGTGCATCACAAAACCCAAGCCTCTTCTCTGTGGAGGGGTACTGTCATACATGTTGGTGAAGTTTGTGTTTGTGTCCCGTCTTACGTCTGATTTTGAGACTTCCTGTTTTATTGTGGCGTCTAAACCCCCTCTCGTTTCAGGTGTCTTGCCCTTCCTCAGGTGTCTCCTGTCGATTGTCTCCCCTGATTCCTAATTGTCTCCACCTGTTCCCTCACCTCCCTCATGGATACTTATTGTCTGCGTCTCCCTTTGTCCTGTGCCAGTGTGTCTTGTAGTTTTGCATGTCCACCCGCGTTAGTATTGTGATGTGAAAAGGATCGTTGTATTTTTGTGCTATTAGATATATGATATTATTTGAATAAATCTCCTGCAGTCAAGCCTCTGCGTCCTTGTCCTCCTCCCCGGCTCCGGCCCGACTGACAGGGGGGAGGGGGGGACAATATACTTGATTTCTGTGGGAAAGTTTGCTCACTAAGAGTGTGTTATGCCGCTTCTCGGTAACCAGAGTCTATAATTTCATGTTTTCTTTAGTTACCACCCTTACATTTGTAAGCTTGATGTAAAAATAGACTTAGTTATGACTCTATTGAAGTATTGCATCCGAATGAAGAAAAACACAATACGTATTTTTCATCCACTTCAACAAAAAGGGGCGACTCTTTCAAAAAGGAAAAGGATGTTGGGCCAGATCTCAAACAGGAAAAACGTGCTTATCAAAACACAACTTGCTCCGCTCACAAACCAGAGGACGCAGTCGAGGAAGCCCACAGCTCTTGCTGCTCATTACTATAGTGATTGAACAGGAAGTTGAACCTCTTGTGCAGTTTGATGATTAGATTAACCTCCCGGGCCTGGGGCCTATGCACACAGGCTGAGCAGATGTCCTCTAGGAGATAACGCCTGCCTCGTGCTGTCACGTCTGTGTGGCCAAACAAGATGTTATCTGCAGCCGTCAAATGTTTGGACCCACCTTCCCATCCACTGCTATATGTGCATGAATATAATACCGATTTTCCTTAGAGAAATATGTAGAAGCCTGGCTTTGCATGAATCAAATTGAAGTGTGGTACAGTATCTCGCTGACAGCCACAAAACTAAATCTAAATACTGTGAGAGCATGAAACAGTTCAATTTCTATTCAAATTTGGGCGTCACCCATTTCTCAGCTGAAATTAGATGGTATAAAAAACCAAGACAATAACAGTTCACACCTTTACAGGTACTGACAAGCCTAAAAAGAGGACAGGCATAACTATTTCAAGTGTATATGTATATATATGTTCATAATGTATGTATACATATGTTTTAAACAGGTTATACTGAAATCTAAATGTGATGAGCAAAGAAAGAAAGGCTTTGATTATGTGGAGCAGAGTAAATTAGATTAACTGTAGTGTGGGCTGCCTTTCAGTACATGCAGTGTTAATTAAATTACATTTTAAAATACTCTTGTTACTATTTCATTACCACGGCTGCCCTTGTGTATATGTATAATGGAGTTACTTTGAGAGTGGGAGCTCTTCTTCCAAAGTGAATAATTTAGCCCACCCCGGCCATGTAAATGTGGTATAGTGCCAGTCTCCCTCCTACCATGGTGTAGTTATGAGCCACATTGAGCAGGTCCACACAGCCTTGGGCGTCTGCAAAGGAGCGTATTCCCAGGCAATTGGAGGGATGCAGCTGTTTCATCAGGAAGTTACAGCAAACCTGGATGACTTGTGAAAGCTGGAGGAGGCAAGCTGCCGCCAATAAACTCTCAATGGTCTCCTCTTTGAGCTCAAGGACGCCTGCAATGTCAGGACAAGCAAAACATACTTTAATACCGTGACTGAAGGTAACCATAATAGCAAATACAGCGCTGGGAGAGGATCTGCAATCGAACAAACTGGATAATCATCATTATATAATTTGAAATTTGAATACTATGGATATGGATATTGTCAACAATGCTTCTCAGAATAGATTTGTCTTGTAGCATAAAGCCCCGTTATGTTTGTAGTGTTGCTCTCTCAGTCAGCCCGGTGATGAATTGCCTTATTGATCCATTTTAATCATGCTGGATTTCAGAAGTCTCGTAACTGCTTACAAGAGCTAGTGAATGTCTTTACGAGCACTCACCAGTGTAAGCAAAATGAACCAGGGATATAAGGGCCTCTGGATCGACTCCCTCCATCTTGATCTCCTCCTGCTTTGCCTCTCTCACATCGCTGGTGAACATAGCTGCAAAGTAGTCCGACACGGCACTCAGGACTAGTCTGCCACAGAGAAAACACAGTGAATTAATGCTCTTGTACCGCTCATGGGTTTGCATGTCAATGGGAGATCTAGTTGCTGATTATTTTATTGATTGTGTGTCCTCCAAAAGAGCTTTGCTTCATAAGAAAAAGGGACTATTTTTTGTGGTGTATTGTATCACATTTTCTCGCAGAATGCTTTTACGCCGTGCTGGGTACTGTTTCCACACATCCACTGTCATACCATTTCGTCCGTGTATGATAAATGAAATTACCCCAGATACTCGATGTTGCTAATAGCTTTACTGGACAGATTTTACAATTTTGTCAGATCATTCTCTAGCTCACATAACGCAGGGATTGATTAATATTGCAAAGGAGGGATCATTTGGCTGAATTAAATTCAGTGACGTAGTCCAACAGTCGTTTCACAGTTGTTTGCGGTTTATTATATTTCTATAAATACTTAAAATACATTTTTCATTTATTTCGTTACACTCTCCACGCTTTACTTGGTTCTGTCTTACAATTCAACATGATCTCCAAAACCTGTTTGTAAAAATGTATACGAAATATTTGACATAGAAATTCGTAACAATACATACTAACTGGCGGTGGTTAACCACGCCCCTTGAGTGAACGTCAAGTGTGTTTATGGGGTGCAGGTCCCCATTCACTTTGAATAGGGTGACGTCATCAGTTGCCAGTCCGTATTTATTTAATATGTATCACTACAAATTTGTATCTTCAAGATTTTCGTATACATTTTTACGAACAGGTTTTGGAGATCAGGATGTACACTCAAATACAAAGCCACATTTAAACAGAGAGCTGTTTCTTGAACTAGGTCACTAGTCACTGACGCATCTTCCTCTCTCTGTGGAGAATTCTGGTTTCTGTTTTGTGAATCTATCATGATAAACTAACATACTATGCTGGCAGGCAGACAAAAGCACATGAACTCGGGGATTGTGGTGCAATGAACGTGATGCCTCTCTGCATTCAGGAGATTTCACTGCTGCCACTCAGACGAAGGGCTGAATGCCCAAATATTGACATATCCATGAATTGGATCACCGGGCTCCTCCACGTCGCAGATGTAATGTGGAAATGAGGAAGGGCAGAGGTGTAATTAGATCACGGCAATGTGCATTATTTATACACACACCAGTGAACATGGAGTTTGCAAATCAGAACAATCTTCCTTTGCATTTTGAAAGATTTTCTGATTATTCCTGAAATGGATTGCGACTACGGTTGCCAACTTCCTCAACCCCAAAAGAGGAACACCTTTTTCCAGGTGTGCGCGGGCTCGCGCGCGCACATGCCGGCGCGCAATGGCTAATGGATAGTTCTCGGCGGCATACTGTGCAAAACGCTTTCCTTTCGTCATTGGCGACTGCTTTAACCTTTTTTTTAGCTGCAAAGTCTTTTTTTCTTTGAAGGTTCACTGCTCATTTTGACACACGATAACGCTCACCTCCCAGTGGCCAGTTCAAACAAACTTTCACCAACAAGCAACAACCGTGTCCCATAGCAACGTTCGCGTGAGTTTTTGGCGCGTTTAAAGAAGCCTATTATTGGCCGTCTAAAAAAGAAGAAAAAAAATATATATATATACATTGGATGTGATTGGAATACGGGACTGGAGCTGTCCCTGACGGGACATATCAAAATCAACCATAAATCGGGATGCCCCGGACAATTCGGGATGGTTGGCTGATTGTGACTGACAAAATACATATAAGAACGTGCACCTTGGTCAAGACAAAAGCCTAAACAACCCCATGAAATGAATAAAATGAGCTTCTTTATCTCTGAAATCAAACCGATAAATGGGTGATGATGAAATCAAAGAAGGCACAAACCCAACCTGTGAGCGGGTATCTTGTGATCCCCTGCAATCAAGAGGACATCACACAGCTGCTTGTGCTGGAGGTAGGTCTCCATCTTACGGAAAGTCTGTTCTGCATGATTTGTGGCCTGGAAAAACTCATCGGACGAGTTGTTGTTCATTCTGGAGAAGGTGCTCAGAGCCAACCTGTGGAGGAGAGAACAGATGTAAAGATAAAAGCAAAAGGCCACGTGTGTAGCATATTGCTGTATCTTGTCCATTTAATTGAAATAACCTGCATGTTCTGCACATTTGGCGATTTTACAGGGAGCCATTTGTCTTTTAGAACATTGCGTGAGGTATTCTTTAAATAACTAGACATGATTTAGCTGTAGTAACATTTGCCCATCGCGTGTCTTGGACATAAACATGTGTATGAAACAGTGAAAGTAACCAAAAACCTTCACTTGATGGAGACTTCGCGAAACACAGACAAAAACAACAGCATTGGATCCTTCAGTTGGAATTATCATATATTTTACGGACACGGATCAGTTAAGTGAAATTAACCCGTTTGACAAACTGTTTCCTTTCTCTGCCTCATCTCCTATCAAGTATGAAAAGAATATATTTATTTTAAAAAGCTCTCAACAGAAAGATAAAAAACAAATGATTAAGAACACAAAACAGCTTATTCGGACACGTGGCACTTCTCAATCCCTTTTTCCCAGGGGTGTATCTGCATCTTTCTTTCCGCTCTAAGCTGAAATTAAAACTATTATGGACTAAACTCTGTACATACGTCGATAAGTGATGTGGTCTAATGGGACAAGCAAGCCCTACAATCTATGCAACAACTTTCCAGACAGAATTTCCCTGTGTCTGTATGTGTGTGTATGTGTGTATGCCGTTGTGTCTGCTGCCCCTGTGTGCATCTGCATATCTGTGTGCGCATGTGGGTTTTCCAAAGACAGGGACTTAACAAGTGAACAAGCCATTTCCTAGCAGCATTGTGGCGAGGCCGAGTCCCCGTCCCCACGGGCAGCTAGATTACAAGCTGTTCCACAGGCACGCAAGTAATCCCTCAGACTCGAGGCAAATAATGCAGCCCAGACATTTTGGTGTCCTTCACCGAGAAAGTCCACTCAATGACATTTAGGGTTGTTTGTTATGCAACGTAAACAGACCCAAGCCGCCTCTCAGAGACCATTTACTGTCGTCTCACGGCCCTGTGGCTGTGTAAATACTTTATGGAAAGAAACAAAAGTCACTGCTGTTTTAATTGAAACTTTCTGTCGCCAGCCATACGCTGGCATGGGAGCTGCATGAAACTAAATATTTGTCAATACAAATGAACTGAAAACTCTGTAAAACTGTAATGCATAGCAGCACAAACCAGGATTGATAACACAGGACGGAAGGGGTGGTGGCTGTTATTGATGCATTGATAAATACATCAATAAATACGTTTTTAGCGGGGTGTGTGACTTTCTGCTCTTTGATTACCAAAAGCATCAACATGTTCCCTCTGGGAACTGCTTATATCACCCCCCAAGTCAATGCAGTATCCTATAGTCCGATCTTTAGAGGGAGACTTTATGCTAAATGCGAGAGTAATTTATTGCCTTGTCACGACTATTCCCCACTGACTGGAGTCTTGGAGAGGAACACCACACAGGACTGAATAAGCAATAGGGCCTTAAAACTGAGATGCATTGCTTTTGTATTGGCTCCAAGGCGTGCTGTAAGGATTTTTCATGCCTACCAATCTCTCCGACACTAATTGCTTTGGTATCACATTCTGGGGACCAGTAAATTTCTCTGTGGGGTATATTTCGCTTTCAGCAGAGGGTTTGATTATCCGAGGTATAGCCCAATTTTATTGAGGCACTAAAGCCACAGAACACCTTGCTCTAGAGAAGCTGCCATAAGGACATTGCTGTACGCACCTTACTAAGCAACTCTAAGAGAGTCAAAGACTCTAACAGGCTATAGATTTATTCTGTGGTCTACAAACCATTTCAATTCAATGCAACAATGAGAAGGTACATTAGCCAATCTAGTGTTTCCTTTTTTCTGCTTCATATATCACAACACAATGAAAATAATTGGATCCCAGAAAAGATACATATTGAAAAACTATTTAAAAAAAGCTAGTCAGCTAAGAAGAACCTGTGAGGTTAGAACCCATGGTTTTAGTCCCATGCTATGAATATAATGTGCTTTTGAGAAAAATGTTAAAATGTTTAATATTCCTTCAGTCTACTGCAATCAGTCTGACTTCTCACCGTGATGAAACGGCCTTCCTTAATGAATGGTTGGATGATTCAAGATGTGCATTCGTCAGCCAGGATTAGCACCTAGCTGTAAAGGTTATGAGTCAGACATGTTTCTCAGAACCTCAGTCTTATTCCAACTAGTGTCAACGCTGTCCTTCCACAAATGGCAAAGCCGTGCCTGCCTGGGCTAAATGTGAAGAGTCTCTTTCATAATGGATTATATCAGCCATTTACCCCAGAAGGCTGCTTAAGTAGCTTGGGTTGGGTTAAGAATCCAACAACTCCTACAGAGCCTCATGCCGCATGCGCAGAGTCTATATATTCCATGAGATCTTTATGCCTCTGTGCTTTGACAGTCGGTATTGCTGTCATTCCGCTTTGTGTAGAGAGAAATACACACACTGACTGTAATAACTTGATCCCAGCAGTGAGGCTGGGATAATAACTCTGTGTAGAAATAGATTTTTCTCTCTGCTCTTCACTATCTCACTGGGGCTCCGCAGAAGACGTTCTTCTTCTGGTACCATTGCTATATTGGACATACTTAATATTGATAATGATGGATGAAATGGAGCTGCATACGGGAACCATGTATTTTTCAATCTGCTCTGAATGTGACGAGCAAGTCCTTTGTTAGAGAGTGCAGTCGAAAATTGCCATGCACTTAAATAAAACTATTTCCTTTTAGCTTTACCAAAACCATCTGCCTTGTACAGAAGAAGTGATGGTGTAAAAGTCATGTCAGCCGAACAGCTAATGCAGCTGTCAGGTGGCATACCAATTGCTGTTTTGAATATTAAGGAACTGCATCCAGAGCAGGATGAAAATGGAAATCTCAGCAGCTGACTGACTTGCACACCTATTTAAAATATCTGCTTGGAGCCACCGTGGAATAATTTGCAAGGTGGCAAATTAATTTCAAAAAAGTATTTAGATCTTTCTGTTGTTACACATAGAAATACTGGGACTGCCTTAAAAAGGGTACAAATATGGCACATTTGACACGATAAATCTCAATTCGATATTGCAATGTTTGGTCCTCTCACCCCGAGTGTAAAATATGTATGTTAATTAGACCTTAAAAATTGTGCTAAATTCTTAAAATAGTTTGGTCAATTTTTCTTGTGCACGTTTCATTATAGTGTGCCTCAGAAACTGCTGAATTAAGTCATGGCCCCTTCTAATAATGTCCATGTGAAATACATAGAAAGCTGTTTCAGGGATTAATTCCTATGAATTAGTTCCATTTGGGGAGGGGGGTGAGGATTACTGATCCGTATTTGAAAATAAATCTAAATAATGGTGCTCTATCTCCTCTGACTGAGGACATTTTGAGATTGGAAAAGATATACTGCATTTTGCAATTTACAGCCTGTTAAGGGCACCTTCGCTGGAGGTGTCACTACCAGACCAAGGTGCTATAAGCCTTGTGGTGTTATGAGACATCCAACAAATATCTGAATTACCGCTGTTGACAGAATGAGCGCTGGCAGTATTTCTTCTCCAAGGCGGCGGAGAGAGAATTGAGATATCATTCAAAACTAACAGCCTGCTGACTCGAGCCTCCGTTAACGTTCATGTCGGAGAGGTCAGGGTCTCCGTTCCATTCAGGTTAACGTCTGCCATTTATCCTCTGCCAATGATGGGGAGAGGTTATTTGGATGAGTCATGAGGACAAAACAAATAGATAGTATACAGATCACTATGGAGCGTTGGGAGCATAGGTGAGAAACAACATGGAGTTATCGGCTTCTTATTTCACACCTTAAACTGAATAATAACTATACCAGCATAGACCACAACATAAATGATTCCCTTTTTTGAGCTACCTGCAGTTCTTTATGGCATCCACAAGCATATTTTGAATAAACTAATAACGTAATATGCTTAATTAAATACAAATACAAATAGAAATATTTGAAATATGTTTCAAAGAACCTCAATGCCACTTGAATAACAGGGAACTAATGTAAATATTTGGATTGATCTTTAAACACAAAATCAATTCAGTCACGTAGAATAGTTTATTTCAATGAGGTCCAACCACACATTAGGATAAGCTGTTTTCAATGACTGTCAGTTAGTGCAGGTTGACGGCAATCTTAATATAATAATAACAAAAGTGTGAAGTCAACCCTGATCAATGAACAAATGAAAAAAATAACAGCTGAGGGGCATGTACCACAAAATGACTGACGCTTATTTCACGACTACAGAGGGACGGCTAAAACTTTTGTGTTTTTCCGAGCCAGCAGAACTCATTTCTCCATTCAGCCTGAGGGATTGTGACAAATTGTGTGTCAAGGATTTATGATGTGAGACATAATAGGGCCAACCAGCTGGTGGAGTAAATGAATGTGCATATCTCAGTGACATCCACACATCTGCATGGCCACCGAAGAACATGCCAGGCACGATGTGGGCTGCAGTCGCTGGCCTAGTTCACTGTGCAACTTTGTACAGCTACTGTACGGATTTATTGCTTGTTCAAACATCCCAGCAACTAATCCTTCACAGATAATGAGTGACTACATTTCAATTATCACAAACTTGATTGGAAAAGTGTAATTTCTGCAGCCAATTCAAGCCACGGCAACCCCCCCAAAATAAGAAATCCACATAGGAATCACCATGTAAAATAGAGGCTGCTATTTTAATGCATTTATTTATTTGAAAAAATAAAGTAGTTTTCAACATTCTTAATGATATACTGTTGTTTAGGAGAATGGCTGATTCAATTGCTTTGTACTTTGTCAACAGTTTAAATTAAATAAATTCCCACGAGTGTCTGTCGTCTCTACATCAAAGTCATAGATTTATATCACTACAACAAGTGCTGCTTAGGCAAGGATATCCTTTATGATCCACCGGAGCAGAACCATTTAAAATGTCAGTATCTTTTGTCAAAATATAATGGGTGGTAGTTTATATGGACAACATTAGCTAAAGGTCCCCATTGAGAGCTAGAGATACACATTTAAACCCTTGAGGCACATCTTTTATGCATGTACTTTTCACATACAGGGACCCCAAAACATGAATATCTGCCCATTATACCAACACAAAGAGCAGAATGTTGAGCTGATTCCAGAATTGGCTCTTAACTCAGAATAATTCATGTTCTGTCCCGGGAACTTGCCTGTCCACTATTAATTTATGCCATATTGACACATTTCTGGGTGCTGACAGAGATTGTGTATTTAGAATGACCTGTCTTTTCATGGTGAGCTTTATAAAACAAAGGTACAGGTTCACTTCCACTGATCATTTCATCACCAGGTGCATGGAACAAAAGCACCCAGGAATGCTTAAGGACCCATCACCTTAGAATGTCACAGACGAGATTAAAGGGATGCCTGGTCTTTTCATCCTATATGTGTGGGGCTTTTAGTGTTCTGCAAGACAGTACACAGTACAAACAAACACACGCACACACATGCAGCTCTACCCCATTGACTTCCTGTTAGAATGTATGAAATGAGAGTTTGGTATCGGGATCTTGAAAAGATGTAAGTAGAAAATAAATGAAATATCATGTGATATTCACAAACTTCACAATGATTTTGGCTCACAACATTGTTGTTGTGGCCCTTGAGCTAATTAATGTGATTACACTGCTTACACTTTGCATATTTCCAGTAAGTTTTGAGTCTATGGACTGGAAATGAGTGTGTAAAAACAGGCAAAGTCGTACGTTTCTTTTAATCTGGCCAAAGGCACACACCGAGCACCACCACCACACCACCAACAAGCCGGTAGAGAAAGCCTTGGCTTTCGGTCCAATGAATTATTAAAATGATTCTTTATTGGTTTATCCTGCCTAACATGCTGTGGAGAAGGAGAGAGTTTCATCCCCAGGTGAGCCATGGTGGCAGCTGCTGAGGGACAGTAAACTGGAAAAATGATAGCTGTGCTTCTTCAGCCATCAGATTTTCTCAGATGCAAATTTGATCAAGAAACTAAACTTTCACTCTAAAATGTAATGGACCCATGTTTTCCCTAAATAGAATCCCATAGTCTGGTTTCCTCTAACTGAGCATGCAAGGTGACTGACGACAGTCGTACCTCTCTCTGGCCTCCATCTCTGCAGGTTCCACTGTGCGGCTCTTTACATCTTCCTGACCAGTGATGGCGTCCTCTTTCCTTGGGGTGTTGGGTGAGGGGCTCTTTGAAGATTCCTGGTTGACCTGTGGACCCTGAATTGTGTTCTGCTGAAGGTGCCATGATTGTTGACCTGCTCTGACGTACACAGGTGTGGGCCCTGGCGTCGGAGCCAAGATGCTGTGGACCGGGCTGTTCGTTTTGCGTAGTCCCCCAGCACCTCTTTCCCTCGAGTGACTCTTCAGCCGGCCCTGGACGGCCGTCCCTCTGTGATCCAGGCCATCCTGCTGGATGTAGCCTCCCACCCCGCCACCGCCGCCCCCTCCACCGCCGGCCGAACCTTGGGATGAATGGCTGAACCAGCGCCAGCGGAGCCTGAGGATCTGCTTCACATCAAAATCCTTCTTCCCCGACACAGACATCCTCCTCTGGGTTGGAGTCGAAGGCAATGGTACGTTGAGTCCACAAAAACATGGAGAGCACAGAATTGGAGCGCCGTGATTTCTGTCCTCCTTTACTAATAATGTGCCTCTTCTCTACCGTTATTGTCTCACTGGTATCATGTCCACCCCCTCCTCCTCCTGTTACTCTTCCGTTGTTCTTTCAGTGGAGGTGGAAAGCAGTCCTCCGCAGCTTTTGTTCCTGTGCCTGAGATTGCTACCCTCCCTCCAACTCTCTCTCTCTCTCTCTCTCTCTCTCTCTCTCTCTCTCTCTCTGCTGTTTCTGTTTGCTGCTGCTGCTGCTGCGCCTCTGGAGCTGAGTTAATGCACATGCATGATCCACACTCCCTTCCCTTCGTCTTCCCTGTTTTCGTTTTCTCTCTCTCTCTCTCTCCTTTTCTGCTCGTCTCTCTTCGCACACACACACACACACACACACACACACACACACACACACAGATATAGACGTATATAAAATAAAATCTCCCAAGCCCTGCCCGGTCCCTCTGCTGCTGTTCTGTGCGGCCCCGTGTGTGTTAGTGTGATGAACATGACTCCAAGGGGAAGAGGGTATCAGGATGATGAGGTCACACCTTATTAAAGTAAATTACTCCATGCTTAAGGAGGGAAAGCAGAAGACTATATTTACTATCAGGACTGCAACTGCACTATGCGTGTGTAATCCATTGATGTATGGAGACACGCATGCATCCATAAAAAGAAAAGCAGGATCCATTAATAACAGTCTCATAAATAACCAACCTAGATCAACACAAACTCTTCGGGGCAAGTAAAATAAATCTCACACAAACCCACATCTGAGCAGTCTGCGATTCTCTCACCAACAGAATCCCATGGGCGACTGTTTCAGTGTACGTTGCCATGCAGAAAAAATATTCTCCTTCAGTCACTGTCTTGAAAGCCCCCTGCGATTACGAAGTGCAAAACTACATACTGATGAACCTCCAAGGTCAGTAAGCTGCCTCTTCCCCAGTCAGGGCTACAGAAAACAGTCTTTTTCATTTGAAAATAGATCCTGCTTCTGCATGAGGTTAAGACTCCACCGTGTAGGTAATTAAGACACCATACCATAGCTCAACCTTCAAAGGCAAAGGGACAGTGGAACAGTGCATAAGGTAATTTGGAGCTGCTGATCAAATATCACAGCACACATGGCACATGAAAAGAGCATGACGGTATGCTGTAGGATAGTGATTCTACACGACCGGGCCGCAACCCGTAGTGTGGATTATTACGAGATGTAAGTGCTGGTAATTCCCTGTTTAATGTGCAGAAGGATTCGAGCTATGAAGGGGGACATTTTCTCCGTGCTCACTTTACAAATGCACTGAGAAAAATAGCTGGATTCGTTATCAATGACAATACTCCAATCTTGTATTGGATATCATCATTTTGATAGACAAGAGCTCAGTACCTTGTTAAACGTGTATGTTTATATTAGTTGTTTTTGGTTTTTAGAGAGTTAAGAAAGGAGTGTTTAAATCAGCCTCATGCTCCATTACTTGAACACAATGAATGATCCCAGTCATCTCCACATAGTGAGACATACAGTTTATCAATTAAGCACTGGTATCTGATTGGTAATTGGTATCGGCAACTTTGGTGTCCCAGGGGGAGAGGTTGTGTATAATGGGATGTTGCCAGTGCACAGACTGATAATGGACATTAGAGTGGAGTAAGGGACACTTTGTGTCTGACAGATTTTACTATTCACAAAGTGGTTACATTATGAAGTTTTGCATTACAAACACTTCCAGCCACTCACTACTTTTTACCAACTTGCTGAATAGGATATGGTTTCTTAAGCTTTTTTGGGATACAAAAAGCTTAAGAAACCATATCCTATTCTCTCTACACTCTTTGATTTGGATGTTTTAAGTGGTTCATTTGTTGCTAGTGGTCAAAGGAAGCTCTACGTGCCCATAAGGCAGGTCGTAATGCTTCCTTCCAGCATGTAGAGAAATGGATTGCAAACCATGAACGATTGTGAAGCACAACCAGCATTATCCCACTTGCCTGACACAGCATAACATCTGTTTGTGGATTTTTACATTTGAATGACTCAATTAATGTTCATTTTCTGCTCCTTACATTCTCATTGACACTGTTTTTATAACTGCATGCTTAGACACTGACATAGCAGATTTTGCAATGAACTGTAATGCCGATGAAATAGATGAAAATGGAAAAGCATCAGTCTTTCTGTGCAAGTTTCCTCATTTTCACTTCCATGGCAGAGTTGAGAGAAGAAGCTCACACTCAAACTCAAACTGCTGGATTTCAATATTGTACAATATCTCATCCACCTCCACAAACCTCCCACGGCAGGTTACGAAGTGGCAAAATCTGCTATTCTGTCCACAAGTATCTGGCTTAACCAGAACTGCATATGTGATTTGATGGGGACAGTGATTGATCTGGTCTGCCACAATACATGACCCATAATTATGAGCAGCAAGACCTTTGGATGTAAATGAATGTATTGATGGTGCACTAAGTTGTGCTGTAATCACTTTCACTAAGTGTTGTATTGAACAGGCAATACATTATCTAAAAAATGCATATTTTATTATTTATCATTTTATATATAAATATTGCTAAATACCTCCCTCCTACAAAATAGTAGTACAAATAGGATCTAATGTACTTTAGCAAGGCACCACACTGTGTAACTGTTACGACCCCCGGTCTTGTCTGTGTTCTGTGTGTGTGATAACCCTCCTCAGGTGGAGCTAATTGTCTTCATTACTCATCCGCCCTCCCGTGATCTCCTACAGCTGGTTCCTGTTTTCCCATCCTCCAATCGCATCGTCCCATCAGCTGTATTTATGTGTTTCTGGTTGTTCAGTCCAGATCTCTCAGGCAGGGTGTAAGGTTGTGTTTGGGGTGCTCTTGTGAAATGTGAAATTGGTTGTACATGGTGGAGTGTTTTGGAGTATTGAAAGTGTAATCATTTGTATTTCGTGTGTCCTTCCCAGGGAGAACGGAAAGCACTTGGGAGTGTTAGGAAAGACGCCCTGGGCATACATCACCCGTAGGGATATCTCCTGTTATACACACCAGGTTAGATCTGAGCGATCCACCCCCTGTATTTTTGGTTAGGGCGCCTTGCTCGAGCGCCAGAGTAAATAAGTGTTTTGTGTAGGACGTTGGGACAGGTAAGGGGTGGGGTTTTGCTAATTTCTTTGTTTTGGATCAGCTCAGCCGTCCTCCCATTTCCCTCTATTGTTTATTATTATTATTATTATTATTATTATTATTATTATTATTATTATTATTATTATTATTATTATTATTATTAATAATAAACTGGCACGTGCTAGCCTGTTTAAACGAAACCCATCGATGTTGGTGTGATTACTTGCGCCCACACCCGGTCTCTGGCCGTCTGGGGTTCTTGGCAGCGCGGTGTATGTTCCCCTCCCCTCACGGGGTGCTGTACGAAAGTAACAGTAACCTTTTTTGTTCTTGTAGGAGTCAAGGACACCATCTGGTTGCACTCCACATGACATGTGAGCTGTCGGACTAGTTTGGTAAACTACATCATCATCCAACATCTGCCTCCCCAGTGAACATACCTAGATATTGTCTCCTTAAACTCGCTACAAAGCATTAAGTTAAATGCATTATGGATAATAGTACAAACAATATGTATAACATTTGATTAATTAGCCCATAGCCTTTACAAGGTAAATCAATACAAAGCCAAGAACCAGGAAAAAAAAACTAATCTAAATGTAGGGAGACATTAAATGCTGCATATACAGTGTGTGTGTGTGTGTGTGTGTGTGTGTGTGTGTGTGTGTGTGTGTGTGTGTGTGTGTGTCTGTTTTACATTGCATTTACAAGATTATAATAAGATTATAATATGGGTTATTTGGGATAAAACGCACCACCCCCTGCTAAGACTACAAGAGCTTTACATTAATCAAACATGTCGAACCCCAAGCAATGTTGGGTAGTGATATTTCAAATGTAGTCGATCATTGTCTCTATTCATGGAACTAACAAGAGCAAAAAAACAACTTGCACTAGCTAAATGATGCTTAGCAGAGCTCACAACACAAACAAGGTATACTTAAACACACAAAGGTATTTACATTTTCAAGCACAGAAATACTGCTTTAAAATGTAAAAATCTAGTATTTTTCATAACATCCCTGAGCTCATATGCCAAAACAAATCTACAGAAACGAGATGCAGTCGTACTGACTATGGAGGTCAGCGGGGACAAGTTGATATGAGAAATGTATGTTTAATCTTCGTAAGGCTGCTACACCTCCTGAACCTGTAGCATTTAAACCGTTTTGGAAACATGTGATTGTAACCATGGACACACTATAACCAGAGTATATAGATATACAAATACCATGAACTGACCAGATTTACACCTCAACCTATACATTTAATCTTAAAGGTGTGAGAGATAAATGTTTTCTTACCTGAAAAAGTGATTCTAAGTGTTAAGCCGCCAACATGTTTGGCAATTGTCCTCACAAAAAGATGTGCAATGGAGGCAAACTGCATGTAATCCAATAACTTACACAGAGGAATTTACAGCTCCGTCTAAACTTTGTCTTCTCCCGTGTAACTTGTTTTGCCTCTCCAGAAAGGAAGGGTGCCTTTTCCTCTTTTAAAGGAAACTCCGGTTAAGTTCCTTCCTCTGCACTACAACAATAAGCGCATTCAAGCAACTAGGGGGACTGGAATGAGATCCTGTTTTTGAGGTAAAACACTGATTTCACAAAGCCTTAGACTACAAATTCTGATTCTTTAACACTTGTTTATTCATTTAATGTGACAAAGCGTCTGATAATATGTAGCGCTGAGTCTTTTGAAGATTTTATTTATGAAAGTATATAATATTATTAGAGTATCTAATATGTTAGTATTTTTACATTTCTTTCTTTTAAACAGAGTCATACTTATAGTTTAGTAAAGTTTTTCATGGTTCAGGCATCTCAATGGGATCCAAGAAAAAATTCTTCATTCTTCATTACCACTGTGACGACTCGAAGAGACGGTGAAGGTGCCTGATGGTTCTTCCTTTTTTTGTTTCTTCAAGAGCGTGTGGATTCCGCCTTTGCCTGTGCACCCTTTTGTCTTGCATTAGTTTATTTTTCTAGTAAAGGATTTCAAACCTGCAAAGAACCTTCTGTGCCTTATTGCTCTGCACCTGAGTCGAAGTCCTGACCCCTCACAACCACATTCAAGCCAAATTTAAACTCCAGTGTAGATAATGTGAACCGTGTGATAATATTTTTGAAATATCTAGGAATTTGATTAATGTCAATAAACAGATCCATGTATATATTGTTTCTTCTTCACAATATGATTATATCCTGTTCTTTCAACACTACTGATAAAATGTAATTGTTTAATCACAACACATATTATTGATGCTTATCTATTACAACGGACATACAGTTGACTGTATTTGGGCTGTTTTGTCCATACAAAAGCCGCTGGAGGCCACAATCTAATTTTTACAGCTTGTGCAAGATCCAGATCATTCTTACTCGAGAGTGTCAAATCCGGACGTTCGGTTGGTGGCTGTAAGCTTCGAGGTATAGCGCTTTAGGTCCCACTCTACACCTCATGTTAGTTTCTGTCAGTTTCCACTCGATAAATGTGTCGTGTTTTTTAAAGATGTTACTGACAACTCATGTAACTAGTGACTGATGTGCAAAAATGTCAAGATTTATCGTACGTTTTTCAAAGGACCTGAATGAAAGTCCTGATATTAAACCATTCTATTACTTTTTGCTGTGACAGAAATAAAAAAATCCTCAAAATTGACATTTTCCCGATATGAGATGAATATTTTTCTTTCATTAAAGTTTCTTATGAACTGAAATGTTACTGCTGTAGGCATTTAACAGAGCATATACACACTGGGAGGCAGTATGTTTGTGGGGTCATGTGGGATAAAGAGGCAGAATTATATCCTACATGAAATACTATAGTCTGTTGTATTCATGAAAATATATTTGTGGCCATTTTATTAGTATTTTACCCTTTAACAATATCAAACACACAAAGAGGAGAAATGCACTGTCATGTGCTGGCCTACATTGAGGTCAATTAAACACAGACAATTTGATGACTGAAACAAATATAACTGTAGCCTAATATCGTGAAAAGAGTAAACATAAAAAGCCCAGTTAATATTAATGTTAGACAAGTCCATTACAGTGTGCTAACATCTACTTTCCTCAGGCACGAACAGCAAAAAACTGGGGCACCTGAACATTAAAGTCAGAGAATAGATGCTAAGATATTTTATTTAACTATTCTTTCATGGATTCTTCATCCGTGAGCGTCTTTCCATGACTTACTATCTCATGAGCTACGACTAGCAGCAACAGTTAGAGCTTGTATACTTGATCCACTTTATTAAAGTACTGTAACAGATCGAGTGATGTATTATGTCCAGTTATTAAATGTTCCTTATCGAGAGTTGCAGTATACAGTATATTTACTTTGTTGCAATAGTCGAGAATCTCCAGCTCTATTGTTTTCATCAAATGCTGTGTGCTTGTTCTAGAAGTGCCTTTCAACCTTACATATTCTGTTGTTTGATAACTTCTCCCTGTAGGATTGAAGCACTCCTCCATTACCTGTTCTTTGTTGGAGTTAAAAAATATTTTTGGTTTATTGTGATACAGGCTGGCCTAGGTTGTCTAGATAATTGAAAAGACTAAGGGCTAACAATATCTTCCACAAATTACTCTATTTCACTGCAGTGAACCCAGAGGAGTTGTCGAATACAGCAACTTGAGTGACTGAGAGGAGACGGGGCTACATCAGTCATTGGTTATCAGCTGACTGCCGGAAAGAAGGGCCATGTGAGAAAGTTCTACCGGCAAGTGTGTCATTACTGTACTGACGCAGGGATGCTCAAGAGTACCAAATATTGAGTCTGATTGATTCTCAACTCAAGTCTTAAGCAACTGTGTGTGCAACTTATGTGTCCCTTCAGCCCGAGTCACAGCCTTGTGCCCGTCTCCACTCAGGCAGAACCAAGCACTCCCAAGCTTGGTTTGATTACCTGTTCATACATCCAGGATCCCATTCCTTGACTTGAGCTGACGGTCTGACTCAGTGTGCGCTAACGTCGGCTAAATAAATACCTGAATTTCTGTTGCGAGTGACTCAGACACATTTGAGTTGGTAAAAAGAGTAAAACCACCCACCTCTAGTTCAGAGTGAAGAGGCACAGAGATGTACTGACCGTGTTTGTTTAACAACAAATACACTGCGTTTTTTTCAATGGCTAGCGACAGTTTTAAGTCTTTAAGTCAAATCCAACTCACTGTAGTAATACCTGAGGGGTCCGCAACTATAAAAAACAACCTATAGAATCTACTCAATAAATGTGAGGTAACAATTTGCACTCGGTTTGTCTGGGTAGATTTCACCACATGTTTAGAGTAAAGCATACCTAAATTTTATAACTAAGATACACTAAAAGAAAGTAAGAAATGATCAACACTTTAGACAATTGATTACTTACAGAAAGTAGGTAATATTTACTCTGGATTGTAAGCACTTAATACCTAATAGGTGTTATTACACTGCACAGGTACTGGGATGACGAAATGGACCATTTTCTGCATTTAACCTATCCCACTCAGTGGGAGCAGTGTACTGCCGTAAAGATGTCTGGAAAGCAAATAGTGGTTAGGTGTGTTGCTCAGGGACACATCAACACAGCTGGGATTCAAACCAACAACCCTATGTTTCCCAACACGTCATCTCTTCTCCTTGCGCCACGGTTGAGGCTGACATTTACCTAAAAAAACATTCTTATTGTTACACTACAAAAAACAACCTAGACACTGTTCTAGTAGATTTCACTACAGGTTTATAGTAAAGCATACCTACGTTTTACAACTAAGATACACTAACAGAAATGAGGTAAAGTCTAACTAGCGCTTTTACAACTGATTACTTTAAAAAAAGGAGGTAATATTCACTCCATAAAGTGTCTCTGGATGCATTCCAAATGTGGTGGATGATCGTGGGGAAGTGTAATATTATTAGAGCACCTGAAAATAGGGATTTCAGAAACCTTGTGAGTTATAAATCTTTTTATTTACTTTATTTGGCAGAATGCACACAAAACAATATACTCAAAGAAGCATGCTCTGTCTCCAACATATCTTATCAAAACAATGCAACTCCCTGTTAACATAGAGATTATTTTTTACATGGAAAGTGACAGTTTTTTTTTCTTTTTTATATTATCATAAGGTGAGTGTACAAATGACTGAGAGTGACAGAAAAAAAGTCCATAAAACAGATGAAGATGAAAATGACAAGGGATTGAAGGATTTGGAAGCAAAACATATTAAAAACAAATGGCACAATGCTTTTTTTCAGAAATATTATACAATCAGAGGAGGAAAACTATTTCTTATGAAATGAACAGCACTTCAGAGCATTGGTAGTTTGCAAACAGTGATTGTCTTTGCAAATACGGTATATACAACACCACTACTATTTGGAATGGGTTATAACAGGCCAGCTCTGTATTGCCAAATATGCTTCTAAACAGATTATATCATTATAAAGCTCAAAAATAAAATCCTTTCATACAAAACAACTGGTAACTGTTTATATTTGTGTCTGGGTGACCTAACAACATCTTCCTTCAAAATAACTATTCTAACTATCTGTTCTGTGCAATCGAGCCCTGGACTAATACAACACACCTATTAATTAAGAACGTTCCTTTAAGAGAATAAAACAAGACAAAATGACAACCCTGTAACAAACTATTTGTAAAAATTTGGTGAGGTGGCATGTGTTTGATAAATCTGAACTATATACAAAAAAGAATATTTTATTACTACAATACAAATTGATCTTATTTACAGTTATAGGGGATTTTGAACAATCTCGTGCACTCCTATCTAATTACTGAAAAAAAACGTAGTTGATAATATTGAAATGACTGTGTATTATCCTTAGGTTTTAATGTTTTTTATGTTGACGAATTTGCCATATTAGAGTCTATTTGGGTGAACATTGAAGAGTGTAATTTACCTCACAATAAATCATTTCTTTGGTGAAACGGATAGTTCAAGTCTTGGGAACCTGAAACCACCTCTTGAACCACTGTCACTGCTGGAAGATGAAGACAACCTTGATTTTTTAGAAGGTAAATGAGCACCTGCACTTGCTTCCCCTTCTTCACCAAGTGACACTTCATATGAACCCTTTGACTTTGAACCAAAACCTCCAAAGGTGCCAAACTTCAACTTGCCTTTCTTTCCTTTGATCTTGCTTCCGCCTAGGTCTAATGAAATGTCGCCACCCTCAGCTTCTAGGTGACCGGAAGGAGAACTTATTGCAAGCCCCCCCTCATCACTCAGGGAAGAAGACCGGTGCCTTGATTTTTGGAATAGATCCATTGAGGCTGACTTTCCTTTAGTTGACGCACTGAGCCCAGAATCGCCCTCTACTTCTAATTTTCCACCTATCAGTTCCCCAGTATGTACCTTACTGCCTTTTTCACTCAATACTCCCTCCGATCCCCGAAGGTCACTTGCACTACTGCCCTTTGCTTTTGATTTGCCAAACATTTTTGGCATCTTTACCTTTATCTTTCCTTCTTTGTGCCTCAGTTCTGGACTGGGAACCTCCACAGATTGTGAACTGACTTGGCAACTGACAGATGGAGACTTTACGTTCATTCCTCCACCAGCTGATTCAACATTTCCTCCACCTGTCTGGCCTTCCAACTGAGGCAGAGCAATACCAAATTTTGGTATTTTGATTTTGGGAAATGTTACAGTACCTTCTGGATAATGAAGGCTACTGCTTGCACTGCCAGCTGGAACACTTGCATCAATCTCTCCACCACCTTTCACATTTATTTTTGGGCCTGTAAAACCTGCCGACATCGTTGCCTCTCCTGGTCTGTTAAGATTTGAATCAATATCCGAAGTGGACAAGTTCAGATTTGGCATTTTTGATTTAGAAGTTAATTTGACATCTGTCTCTCCCAAATTAACATTTGTATAGTCAATACCAGAACTTTCAAAAGCAGTGTTCAAGCTCGCAGATGGAACATCTTTGTCAGTGGACTTAAATCCTCCTGGTAAAGATCCATCCCCTTTCAATTTTGGTGATTTGATATCTAATTCAAGATCAGGGAAATGAATTTTACCAAAAAGAGGCTTCTTTACCTTTGTTCCTTTGACATTAATGTTGGGTGTGTCTAAATCCAGGGCTGCTGCTGGTGTTTCTATGTCTACAACAGGTTTCTTTGCTCTTGCTTTAACTTTAGGAAGTTTGAATTTCCCCTTTTTCCCCTTTACATTGACATTAATATCAGGGGCATCGAGACTTGCTTCAGTGGAAGGGACATTAATTTCTGTTTTGGAACCGTGTGTATCCACACTGAGTTCCGGGGATTTAATTCCAAACTTAGGACCTTTGAATTTAGGAAATGTAACACCGGTCACTACAGGATCGTTCGACAGACCTTCCGTGATGGTGGGAACAGCAATGTTAGCATTTGGACCTTTGATATCTGCTCCCAGATTGGGCAATGATGCATCAATGTTTCCTGTGATTGTAGGCCCTTTTACATTGACATCAGATGCTTTAACATCAATGTTTCCTTTGGGAAGTTTTATACCAACATCTGAACCAACCACTTTTGGACCTTTGATGTTGAATGAGGGCATTGACATATCCACATCACCTTTCATTTTGGGACTCTTCAGATTGAAATCCACATCAGGCATGGAAACTTTTGGGCCTGAAAGGCTTGGCATGTGGAATTTGGGGCCTTTGCTTTCACCATCAATGTCAACATCTGGTCCTTCGATGTTCATTTTCGGAGCTTTCATGTCACCTTTAATCGTAGGGGCGGATAAATCTAAATCTCCCTTCATTGTGGACCCTTTCAGATCTATATCCCACTCTGGCAGCTTGGGTCCTGAAATTGATGGTGCTTGAATTTTTGCTCCTTTCAATTTCACATCAGGACCTTTAACGTTGAATTCCGGCCCTTTAATGTCAACATCAGGTAGTTTACCTTTGGGGAGGCTTACATCTGGAAGGTCTGCTTTTGCTCCTTTGAAGCCAAATGATGGCATTTTCATTTTAGGCATTTCAAATCCACCTTTGGGACCTTCAACATCAATATTTGGACCTTTGATGTCAATTTCAGGTGATTGTATCCCCCCCTTTATCTTTGGCAGTGACATATCCACATCGCCTTTCATTTTGGAACCTTTCAGATTAAAATCCACATCTGGCATGGAAAGTTTGGGTCCGGAAATGCTTGGCATGTTGAATTTGGGTCCTTTGATTTTACCACTTGGCCCCTCAATGTCCAAATCTGGTCCTTTGATATCCAATTCAGGAGCATTGATGTCAATATTTGCCTTAGGGAGGCTTACCTCAACTTCTGGCCCTTCAACGTATGGACCTTTCAGTCCGAAGGACGGCAGTTTAAATTTAGGCATTTCAAATCCACCTTTGGGACCTTCAGTATCAACATGTGGACCTTTGATGTCAATTTCAGGTGATTGTATGCCTCCCTTTATCTTTGGCGGTGACATATCCACATCACCTTTCATTTTGGGACCTTTCAGATTGAAATCCACATCAGGCATGGAAAGTTTGGGTCCTGAAATGCTTGGCATGTTGAAATTGGGTCCTTTGATTTTACCACTTGGGCCCTCAATGTCCAAATCTGTTCCTTTGATATCCAATTCAGGAGCTTTGATGTCAATATTTGCCTTAGGGAGGTTTACATCTACCTCTGGCCCTTCAATGTTAGGACCTTTCATTCCAAAAGATGGCATTTTAAATTTAGGCATTTTGAATCCTCCTTTGTGGCCATCAATGTCAACATTTGGTCCTTCAATGTCGACTGTGGGAATATTCATGTCACCCTCAATCTTTGGAACTGACACATCCATACCTCCCTTTACTTTGGGACCTTTCAAACTCAGATCCCATTCTGGCATTTTGGGTCCTGAGATTGATGGAAGTTGGAATTTAGGTCCTTTCAATTTCATATCAGGTCCTTCAACATCAAAGTCCGGCGTTTTTACATCAACATCAGGTACTTTAACATCAATTTTACCTTTGGGAAGGCTTACATCTATATCTGGAAGGTCTGCTTTTGCTCCTTTTAAGCCAAATGATGGCATTTTCATTTTCGGCATTTCAAATCCACCTTTGGGACCTTCAATGTCAATATTTGGACCTTTGATGTCAATTTCAGGTGATTGTACGCCTCCCTTTATCTTTGGCAGTGACATATCCACATCACCTTTCATTTTGGGACGTTTCAGATTGAAATCCACATCTGGCATGGACAGTTTGGGTCCTGAAATGCTTGGCATGTTGAATTTGGGTCCTTTGATTTTACCACTTGGGCCCTCAATGTCCAAATCGGGTCCTTTGATATCCAATTCAGGAGCATTGATGTCAATATTTGCCTTAGGGAGGTTTACATCAATTTCTGGCCCTTCCATGTTAGGACCTTTCATTCCAAAAGATGGCATTTTAAATTTAGGCATTTTGAATCCTCCTTTGTGGCCATCAATGTCAACATTTGGTCCTTCAATGTCGACTGTGGGAATATTCATGTCACCCTCAATCTTTGGAACTGACACATCCATATCTCCCTTTACTTTGGGACCTTTCAAACTCAGATCCCATTCTGGCATCTTGGGTCCCGAGATTGATGGAAGTTGGAATTTTGGTCCTTTCAATTTCATATCAGGTCCTTCAACATCAAAGTCCGGCGTTTTTACGTCAACATCAGGTACTTTAACGTCAATTTTACCTTTGGGAAGCCTTACATCTACATCTGGAAGGTCTGCTTTTGCTCCTTTGAAGCCAAATGATGGCATTTTCATTTTAGGCATTTCAAATCCACCTTTGGGACCTTCAATGTCAATATTTGGACCTTTGATGTCAATTTCAGGTGATTGTACGCCTCCCTTTATCTTTGGCAGTGACATATCCACATCACCTTTCATTTTGGGACCTTTCAGATTGAAATCCACATCTGGCATGGACAGTTTGGGTCCTGAAATGCTTGGCATGTTGAATTTGGGTCCTTTGATTTTACCACTTGAGCCCTCAATGTCCAAATCTGGTCCTTTGATATCCAATTCAGGAGCATTGATGTCAATATTTACCTTAGGGAGGTTTACATCAACTTCTGGCCCTTCAATGTTAGGACCTTTCATTCCAAAAGATGGCATTTTAAATTTAGGCATTTTGAATCCTCCTTTGTGGCCATCAATGTCAACATTTGGTCCTTCAATGTCGACTGTGGGAATATTCATGTCACCCTCAATCTTTGGAACTGACACATCCATACCTCCCTTTACTTTGGGACCTTTCAAACTCAGATCCCATTCTGGCATCTGGGTCCTGAGATTGATGGAAGTTGGAATTTGGTCCTTTCAATTTCATATCAGTCCTTCACATCAAGTCCGC